ATCACAGTACATAATATAAGCACATAAGACCCTCCGGTCACACATAGATTACCACTCAAGATAAGTATAGTGAGAAGACTCACCTCGTAAGAAATCGGGTAACCTCGAACTCAAATCACCTGTCTAGCCTCCGCCTAACACATACGATAATTATCTCCAATTAATAACGGTTCTCAAAGAAGCTAGACTAACCCTTCTACAAACTCCCAGAAGGATAAAAGACCATTTTACCCTTCCATGGACTTAGTAGTCCACAAATTGACCAAACCCTAAAAGTCAACTAAAAGTCAACGGCAGCGCGTACGTGGCGCGTACCAGCCCTCTACGTTGGGCGTACTCCTTCGCCATGCATGCATCATGGTTTCACGACCCTACGCTGCACGTACTGGGATTACGCTCGACGTACGCCCCAGTTTTGCTCTTCCCACTCATTTGGTCTTAATCCGTTAAGACATAAGCTCAAATCTCATATTTGGACTCCCTAAAGGCTCTTACTCCATAAAGTCTGTGACTTTATGCCTTTGCATGGCTGATAAAGTCACAAACACCAAAACCCTCACTCTCTATACTCAAAAAAATGCTCATATCTCATGCATGGTTTGGTTTAAACGTCCAAGTCTCGATTTTTATGACTCTACATCACTAATAACACTCAAAGGAGCTGATAATAAGCTCTGGAGCTCAATATCTCATAAAGCATCCAACTTTGGGACCAAAACCCTAATATGAACTAAAATGATGCACAAATCAAAAAGATGAGAAAGCATTGAGCTTTATACCTCTAACTGAAGCTCCAACCACATATAAGCTCAGATCCAAAGCTTGGACTCCCACTCCTTCTTCTCCAAAGCTCCTTCTTCACTCCAAAGAAACATAAGAACACTTAATAGCTCACAAATGGACACCCAAGCTCCAAGGACGAGAAATTAGGGTTTGAGAGGGTTGAAGTATGGGAATGGTGGCCAGGAATGAGGCCATCATGTCCTTTAAGTAGGGGCACACCCTAAATTAGGATTTTCACTCTAGGCCTAATACGCCCAACGTACTAGGTGGCTTCTGCGTCAAAAGCACGCACATGAGTACGCTAAGCGTACACTCGCGTACGCCCCGCGCACTCATTGACCACCTTTTCTCAAATAAGGGCCAAACTAGAAAATTAACAAAAGAACAAGGGCTCATAAGGTATACCTGATCTTGGGATGTTACAGGTCGGTAATAAAGATATAATGGTTTCCAATTATGATGATTTAATAATCGTTCTTTCATGTGGTGGCACCACTATACTCTTATCCATTGACCATAATCTAGATAGACCCGACGTGTTAAAAAGAATCAAACTTTAGAAATGAAGAGTGATCGAATAGAATGGGCTACATGTTCTTTGAGTTCTTGCGATTTCAAGATCATTAACTATTTTTTTTTGTAATATATTTGGTGTCTCTATGTCCCTAAAGGCTATGGAAATTGTAAATTCATTTGCTTCCTGACATGATCTGGAATAAACCTGTTGACAACCTCTAGAGATGCTCCTGACAACTTTGTTTGAAGTTGAAGATAAGAGATAATGGTCGACCATCTAGTAAGTGATCATTAGGTTGTCATATCTCATAAAAGAATAGATGTGTCATGGCTTCAAGTGCATTGCAACAAAGACTTGGTATGTACTGTAGGAGTCGACATGTAAGGTTAATTGCTTCTGGAGGCATCCACTTGTGGCAAACCTTGTGTCATGGGTTGGCATTTATTTCAGGACACCGAAAATCATTGCAGTTTGGATCCATGCATCTAATTTCTTCTCGAGTTGGTGAACAACATTTTCTCCCACAAATAGTGGTTGTCTCATAAGAAGTTCGGTAAGAATTCAACGTCTTCCTACCAATATGATGATATCTTCGGTAAGGGTCTTCCATCAACATTGTATACCCAAAAAGAGTCCTTGTGGAGAGAGAGAGAGAGGGGCCTCCAAAATATATAAAGACATATATGACCACATTACATTGATTAGGATACACTACCCCCCCCCCCCCCGCCCCAAAAAAAAAAGGAAAAAAGGAGGCTCATTGAGTTACGCAAGGGATGTGTCAAGCCATAGGGGTGAAGACGCTTGCTCTAATACCATGAAATATATATATATATATATATATATATATATATATATATATATATATATATATATATATGTGTGTGTGTGTGTGTGTGTGTGTGTGTGTGTGTGGAGTCTAAGATTGTCTCTCCAATACGATTCTTTATGTCTCTATATATGTTGGAGTCTCTATGTTCGTCATAATGGCTCTTTTGGACAGTTAATATAGGACTTCACATATATATTACATGGTATCATAGTCGGCGGTTGCACCCCGTAGCTTGACACACACATACACACACACACACACATATATATATATATATATATATATATATATATATATACACACACACACACATATATATATTAGTGTATCTTATGTGATGCAACACAGTCTCATAAGTGTCCATATATGTTGGAGTCCCCCCCCCTTTTCTCTCTCTCTCTCTCTCCTCTCTCTCTCTCTCTCTCTCTCTCTCCATATGGATTCTTTTGGAGAGTTAATATGAGACTCCATATATATCTTACATGGTATTAGCGTCCGCACTCTCATGATTTAACGCATCCTTGACCTGACATCATCGAAGCTCTATCTCTAATGGAGAATGTTAATGTATCTCACATCGGTGTCACACGGTTCCATATATCTCTATATATGTTGGAGTTTCTTCTCTTTATATTGAAAATTTAATATGAGACTCTACGTATACCTTACATAATATCATAAAAACCCAACAAATTATTCTTAATTTTTAGAAAAGAGCTAAAGAATTATTTCCTATTATAATCATGAAACCTCAATATGATCTAATTGTGCTAGATCCGGTGTTGACGATGTTACTATATTTATAAAAGCTAATTTCATTTAAAGGATTTTTTAATTCGAGTTTGAATAATATTAAAGGACTCTAAAAAACCCGACAAAACTTATTGTGAAGTCATTATATGTAAGTCGTTGTACTTATATATGTTTGAGCTCGGATATATTAATCACGCTTTTATACTTAATTTGAGTTGGAATAACATGATAAAAAGTTGTAGGTTACCACTTACCATCGATATGTCATTTCCTTATATATATATATATATATATATATATATATATATATATATATATATATATATATATATATATATATATATATATATATATATATATATATATATAGGGTAAATTACATCAATCATCCCTCGTACATATACCGAAAAACGCGTTTAGTCCCTATTTTCAAAAATTAACTCGGACAGTCCCTCGTTTGGTTAAAAGTTGCACACCTCATCCCTCCGGACATAAAAAGACGATTTTGCCCTTAATAATGTATTTTTTAATTTTTATTTATTATTTTTAGATTAAAAAAAGAAAATAAATATACACCGACCCACCGTTCCCCTTTCCTTTCCCCGGTTTCCTTCTCTCTGTCTCACTCACTCTCGACACCCACGTAAACAGCTCCACCTCCTCTTCTTCTTTTTTTCCGGTGACACCAAACACATCTACTCTTTCTCTTACTTTCTTTTCCGATTGCCGGAGAATAACATCAAAATATGGTGACTCAGTCACTCAACATGTTCGATTTTCCGGTGAAGTAACTAGGCTACCATCGCAACCCACCAAGCTTTGGTTGTGATGCAATGACCGGATGAGGAGCTGTGGAGATCGGGACAGGAGAAGATTGATTTGAGGAAATCCAGGGTTTTGTCATGGACCAGAAGCCACCGATGAGGCCATCAGTCTACACCTTAAGCCCTTGTTGGAGTCATCACCACCGCTAGAAACCTGCATCTCCTCCGGCACCACCACATATCAGTGTCAGCACCAACTCCTCTGGCACAACCACCTGTCACCGCAAACACATTCCCCTTCCCTTTCCCTAATTTTCTTCTACTTTCGTCTCCCTCTTCTCACCCATTCCCGACAACCATCCAAAACCCCAAAACGGTGAACCAAAATCAGACCCCAAACCATCATCCTGTATCTTTATTCCCCACTCCATCTTAAGAATACCAACGACCATCGAGGCTACCAATTTCAGTCTATCACGAGTTCACGACATCTTACTGCAATCAAAATCAGGTCCAAGACGAATCCATCGAAATAAAATCAAACCTAACCTGAAACTCAAAATCAAAATCGAAACCTTCATGAGTTTCAATTTCTGGATTTGAGAAGGACAAAGGAGGGAACTGTCATTTTCATCGACTTTGTCTCTTCATTGGAGGTGGTTGTGGTATTTTGCAGCGTAACTGAGAGGGATAGAGATTAAAGGGAGTTGTTTTTTTCAGTTATAAATAATAATAAATAATATTAGATTAATTTAAAAAATAAATATACAAGGGCACTATAGTCATTTCAAATGGGGAGCGGACTACATTTGCAAAAAAAACGCATTTAAGGGACGAAACGTGCAAGGTTTAAGCAAACGAGGGACGGTCCGAGTTAATTTTTGAAAATAGGGATTAAACGTGCTTTTCGGCATATGCACGAGGGACGATTCGTGTAATTTACCTATATATATATATATATATATATATATATATATATATATATATATATATATATATATATATATATAATTAAGATTACAATTGTTTTTGATGATTACATGTTGAATTTATATATATATATCTATATATATATATATATATATATATATATATCTATATATATATATAAGATTACAATTGTTTTTGATGATTACATGTTGAATTTATAGTTATAGTTACACTCATAGTTACCTTTTATATCATAGTTACCTTTTATACTGGTGTCACATTTCAGAAAAAGTTTTTTTTTTTGATAATGTGATGGTATATTATTTCGTAGACGATGAGTAAAGACATAACGTTCATTTGTTGTTTGGATTTTATTCGTTTGATATTTGATGTAATAAGAAATCCAAATAGGTATCGGCCATTGTTGAAACAAAGCTTTATTCGTTTTTGCGATTCTCGGATTGCGATACATCGATTCATAATTTAGAACAAAAGAGAATAAAAAACAAGATTGATTAGTAAGAAACGCCATTCGATTCTGATATGATTAAGGTGAAGAAGACGGGGAATCTAGAAGAAAAAGTGAAGATGGAGGAAGAATAGATCTTGTTCCAAAGCTTCTGGTCAAATCAACCGGAATCGAAGCCAACGACGTTGATTTTTCAGAAGACCTTGATCTTGAAGATGAAGTAGACCTACCTGAACGACTCCTCAGTTTCTTTTTCATCTCGTCTCCATTATACGACTGATTGTCTTCTATTCCGACTTTACATGACCTTACACTCGCCGGAATTATACAATCGCAAAATAAACCTGTAAATACAACGCCGCTAAAATGTCAGGAATGAGTATCGTTTGATCGATACAAGTAAAACTCGTGAATTGAAGTTACCGATTCTGGCGAGACGATTAACCCAACTCGGTATAGGATTTCCGGTGAGTCGGAGACAAGCATCATTACAGAAATGATTGCAGTTTCTGGTGATGAGATTGTACGAAGTTCCTTTGTATTCCTGAGCGAGCTCTTTCATGAATCGCCGGATCTCCCGCAGACTCATCTCCGTCCATCCGATCAGAATCTGCTTTCTGAACGTGAATCCTTGGCATTGTTTTGGTTCACCTTCGAAGATTCCAGTTGTCGCATGTTCATGAGATCCAAATGCGTACTCAACTCCATGAACTACAATTAAGCATTACGAATTAAGCTACATATGGAGCTCCTACTTCATCAAATCAACTACTAACAACATTGAGATTTGAGATCAAACCTTGAACGCCGGAATGGTAGGCGCCGAGGCCAAGCCAATAAGCACATCCGTTCATGGAGGTAAGATCATAGACATTCAGGTAAACCGAAACCGATCCAGCTTTTGTACACCTTATTGAATTTCTTCCTCTGCACAACATTTTCTGTTGAAACCGACTGATGTTTTCAAAATTCGAATGAATGCATCAAATAAGAAAAGGGGCGGAATACGAGAGTGTGTGTATGAAGCTTGATGATGAGGAAGTTGGTTCCACCGGCGACATATAACCGCCGAATCGTCTGCTTTTGTGGCGGACCACCACCATTTTTATTTTGATATATAAAAAAGTGTCTTTAATAGATTCCAAATTTTGAAATTTATATATTTTTTTATGAAGATAATGTATATTTTTTGAACTCATATCTACACCGTAAGTATGGTTGGTAATGAATGCTCTTGGTTTGAAGACGTATTAGATTCGAGCATTACTCATGTCTCAAGGTCGAATACGATATAATAATATATATATTTTTAATTACACTAGTCAACCACTTTGAAGTTGATAGTTAATGTATGATTTAAATCGTTTGAAAGTTCATCCGACTAATTTTACCTTAAGGAGCTATACAAGTATAATGAGCTTATGGTTGCTTGTATATATAGATTTATAAAAGCGTAGAGTGTTAGTCCTCAATTGCAAATATGGGCCACCGGCGTAACAAAATTGGTTTGACTTGTAGGCATAGACATGTGCGAATGCGCATGAGTGTGGGTATGAGTATGGATGTGAGTGGGGGTGAGCGTCGACGTCGACGTCTGTGTGGTTTTCTATTGTAGGCGTAGGACTAAGCATACTTGTGTAGGTGTTAGTGTGATAGTGGGTGTGCCAATGGATATAAGTGTGGGTATGAAGGTGGTTTGGTGTGTGTGGCTGGTTTGGTGTGTGTGATAGTTGATGAGAGATGATAATAATTTATTTTGATTTGATGAACCATGATTAAAATAAAAAGAAGATGAAAAGATATATTTATCTTTTTAATTAAACATAAGAAATTAAATCTGACATTTTTGTCTTTTTAATAAAACATAAAAAAAAATTAACAAAAAAAAAAATTTATTTGATATTATAAACCAAACACTATTTTTAATATAATTAACGTTTCAACCCTTCCAAATTTCTTGAATCCCAAAATGTAGTTCTTAATTCCAAGAATAAGTTACATAAATCATCCATTTGGTTCAGGTTAATTTATGTATTTCGTTCGTATTTTTTTTTAATTTGGACCATCTCTATAATTTGACTTTGTTAAGAATTGTATCTCTGTCATACACGATAGTACACTTATGTATTCATTTTAATTAATTTATTGTTTTTTTATTATTAATAAACTAGTTGTAATACCTATGTAATACATGGGTTAATTTTTTTATAAAAAAAAATAAATATAAAGGTCAAAATATTTGAGAACTTTAAATTTATAAGAAAAAAAAAATAATGAATTATTATAATTGAAATGTTTTTTATCTTTTAAATTTAAACAAATAATTTAAATAAATAAACAAAAGAAAGTAATGAGCTTTAATTTAGATATTTTGAAATTAAAATGTAAGTTCATTAATGAAATTGATATCCATTTATTACTACATTTATTGCAATTATTATATTAATATATTATGTTGAATTTCATAAAAATAGAAAAACTCATAAAATGACATGTGGAAAAAAAAATTCAAAATAACCACAAAATGACATTTGGCAAATTGAATGAGAGTGTGACATGTGGCAAAAAAACTTTCATTTATTAGAGTAGATTAAACAGAAAAGAAATATGGCCCACAACAAAGGCCCAATTCTTTTTTCTTTGTCACTAACATCCATTTAAAACCATTGACAACCACGACTTGAAGTTCAACAACTACAACCACTTCAATATGTGACCACGACAACCACCAAAATCAAGTTATGGCCCATGATGACTCTGAAACCATTGATTTCTGAAATACAAATTATAATCCCCCAATCCACTCACTTTTGAAACCATCGAATTTTGGAAATTCAACGTTCAACAACTAAACCCTAGATCTTGTCGCTGCCTTGGTTGTTTCCGATAAACAAAAAGTCAATTTTCTATAATCTTGTCTCTACCATAAAAAAGCATGTTACTACTACCATTTTTTGTTTTTCATCAAGCTTAATATGTGGTAGCATTACGGAAACCGCTATCGAAATTGAATCCTGAAATGCTTTATAGTGAAAATGGGATATAGATGTGTAACCTATATGAAACACCAGATTTCTATCGGTACCCAACTGAAAGTCCATCATTGCCCACCTAAAAGCTTCACCGTCAACCCCTTAATATTTGTCGGATATCATCTTGTCGCCAAAAACACCTCTTCATCCCTAAATTACAAATCTTTGGCATAATTAGACCAATAGATCTTTAGGTTGTAGACTTTTTGGATTCAAATGTTTTTTGTGAGGTTATTTTGGGTTCAATTTGCAGATCAAACCTCTCATTCTCATTGTGCAATTTATGTTTCTTAACAAAAACGAAGTCACCATAAGCATGTTTTTGAGCTATGTGGTGTATAAATTAGATTTAAGTTGGAAATAGAGGAGTATCGTAGAATTGATTTGATTTTCTTGTTTTTGAAGCAAAACATCAAATGGGTTTTTGAACTTGATTTAGTTATCAAAATATAATTTGTTTGAAGGGTTATGGTTTCAAGATTTAATAGGCTTCACGATTTATGTTTATATGATTTATGTTTATGGGATAGAGGAGGAGGATGGTGGATTTATGTTTCTTGACACAAAGAAGACATTATAAATATGTTTTGGTGATTTATAAGTTGATTTAAGTCGAAAATAGAGGAGAAAGAGTATTGTGGAATTGATTATTTTCTTTGAAGCAAAACATCAGATGCATCATATTTACAAATTTCAGCAAAAACATTATAGCCGAAGAAGATGAAGATGGTTTGGGTGGATCGGGTGGAGTTGGGTGGATATGTGGGACTCTATTATTTTAATAACTATTTTTACAAAATAAACTTAATAATATAGAACTTATGGCGGGTTGGTATGTATATAGGTGTATGCATATGTTTTATTAATGTTTGAACTCGAGCTCATTAATCTTGAATAATAAGTCCTATAATAATATTAAGTAGTGTTTGGTATGAAGTAATAGAAGATGTAATGGAATGGTGTATTATCACTTAATGAAAAAAATCCTATATGGATGTTATAACTAGGTGTGAGCATACGGACCGAACCGGCCAAAAATCGGTTTGGAACCAAAACCAGGATTGATGATTTGATATGACCGATAATTGGATTGATTAACCTGCACTGATATCGGTGCTAGTCCTGATTTTCTAGTCAAATACCCAATTGGAACTGGTACACGTGCTTATGTAGTTGGTACAAATAAATAATGTTGAAACAAAAAATAATTCAACTTAGATACCCTATGGTCTCGGGCATGTAACTTGATCAATATGTAACAAAATAATGTGTTTCTATAATCTAAAATAAAGTACAAACAATAAATTACATGTTGGAAAAAAAATTATACCATTACGAATTCAAACGAAGGAGTTGTTACAGTTTAAAGGAGATGGATAATTGTGCAAAATGTGGAAACAAAAAGCAATTCAAATCTGATACTCCATGTTCTAGAGCTTGTAGCTCAATAAATATGTAGTCAAATTGTAACACCCTGTTTCGAGTCGTTTCCTAATTCGGGGTCGTGACCCGAAGATCAATTATCATAAGGCTTCAGGCTTTGAGTAAATAGAGGTTTAGACCCATTTGGATGTGGGTAGTGTAGATTATATGATCCAAGAGTTTGGTTTGTGCTTTAGAGCCTAAGGGTATAATGGTAAAAGTGATGGTTCAGACCTTTCATGAATCAAGGATTTAAGCTCGGAAGGTTTTGAGGAAAACGAGAGTTGATAGGAATGTAAGGCTTCTCGTTACCTTTCCGAGCATATAAAGAACATCGAAATCAAAGTCGGGACGAAGAAGTTATGGCTTTCGGAAGATAGGAAGAATATGGGTCTAGTTTGGTACGATGGTCGTACTGGGCTCATATGATCGCGGGTGACCAGCTTGGTACGCTTGGCGTATGACCACCAAACTCAAACCCTAATTTTTAGGGTTTAGGCCTTATTTAAACATCTTAACTCATGGAAACCCTCCCTTATTCATCCTTCATCCCCCTCAACCTGTGATTTCGAAACCCTAGCCCCATTCAGAGCTTTTTTGACCTTTTTCTGGGTGTTTTGGTGCACTTTGGAGAAGGGAGAACTCATAGGAGAAGAGTTGGATTGCTTAGAGCTTGTAGATCATAGCTTGGTTTTCCTTGTTGCATATTATACATGTAAAAAGTCTCAAACTTGGTGGTTCATTTGTTAGAACTTGCTTGGGAGTGGGTTTTGCGTTTATTGGTCCCATGAGTTGATTCTTGAGAGTAAATGCCACTACATAAGTGTTAGGTTGTTCATTTTGATGTTTTGAGGTCCCTTGTTCATAAAGTTTGAATATTGATGGGTGTGGACCAACCATGAATGAGTTGTTGACCTCTTTGTGAAGCTAGTAGACTACATTTAGGTTTTGGGTTCCTTGGAGCCATGGAAAGGCATCAAGTTGACGACTTTATTCATTAAGACACCCATTAGAATTATACTGTAGGATACTAGGGTCGTATGTGCTTGTTGTCTTTGTGACTCTTTTTGTAAGTACGTATGCCTGTTTGATATATGTTTGTGGGGTGAAATAGACTTGGGGGTGAAATAGACTCGTACGGTTAAAAAATACCGATTTAGTTGAAATAGACTCAAGGGTGAAATAGATCCAAGGGTGAAATAAATAGGTACAACCTTGAGCTTTTATTTGAGTTGAAATAGACTCGGGGGTCAAATAGACTCGGTATAGCCGTGAGTTGACGGATATGTATTGTAATGCCCGCAGATTCGGGCTAGTCAATTTAGAGACAATAAACGTCAATAATGACTTTTTGATAGAAGATTATTTAGGATAAATAATCTTAACTAAATTATAGTATATGTCACAAGGATTTCATACATATAAAGAACGCTGAAATCCGACTTATAACGAAGAAGTTATGACCTGTCGAAGTTTTGCGGCAAAACCGGCACGACATCGGGAATCGTAAAAAGTGAATTTACGATAAAATACTTTTTAGACTTAGAAATCTAAATGAAAGTTGTAGTATACGTTAAACCGAGAGCGTGCATAAAAAAGAACATCCAAATCTGACTTCGTATGAGGAAGTTATGAATTTTCTAAGATTT